GGTTATTAATGTCTTATCGACGTCTCTAACCTATCTTTAGGTCATATGGCACCTACTGCTGCATTCTAATATGATGGGAATGTCAAATTCAAATTTGTCCGGATTTAAGTGGCGGACCCTGTATATATATATATATACATATATACATATATATATGTATACGTACATATAAACACAGACCAAAACTGTTGTTGTTAAAATTTGTATTTGACACTATTGTACACTTCGTGTAAGATTAAATAAACGTAAATGTTTCATGTGTAATTGTAGTTGTGTCTCTGCGTAACTATTACACAAAAAAGTTATATAAGCCTAACAGAATTTTAATATAAAATTCATACTTACATAAAAGAGTCATATAACATATGTGTGTTAATAGATTTAAAGATAATATAATTATTATATATTAAATATTATACAAAATTTAATATTTAATAAAATTCAAAAATAGAGTTTTGAGTCTTAATATATTTTCACTTTTAAAACGTTCACCGTTTGATCATAAAAAATCAAAATAAGATCGGAAATCTGTTTTTTTTTTTACTAAAATGTCATATTGTCAAATGTTTTTCCAAATATATCAATTTAAGCAACTAAATGAATAATACATAATCAAGTAACCTAATTACTTGTGATTTTTGCTAATTACGGTAATATTTCAAACGCACTACAGGCTCTCCCTCTTTCTCTCTTTCTCTCTTATCCCACGCATAAACCATCTTTGTGTTACGCTAATCTACGATGTTCACATTTAATCAATATTGTAGCGTCGTGTATCATAAGCCGTCAAACCGGCGTTCGCAGATTTTATTTATCGATACGTCAGTACGCGGAAAGACGTCAATGACGCTCACACGGACTGAACTGGGTCACGTAATCAACGGCGCCAAATTCGTGAGAGAAATTTGACGATATTCCGCTAGCAATCCGTGAATTTCACTCCGGAAGTTCACTATGCGCAATATAGTGCGTTTTATCGTTCTCTGCGATAACAATAATCCGCCGTGTTTCCCCGATTAGATCCGGTATACGTTTCTAAATAACACAGTCGGTTGAAAAATAATTTCAGCGATAGTACATAGTTAACTCAGCACAACTCACGTTATATATTTCGCTGATTAGAAATTTATCCGCGATTATTAATAACAATAATGTGTGATGACGCTCAAAAATACAATCAGTGTTTCTCTCTCTCTTTCTCTCTTTCCTTATATATTTTCTTTTCACTTTCTTTCTCGCTTTTCCTCGCTCACATTTCCATCTTCTTATCTCCCGATCTCTTACGTGAGATCGAAAAGACGAATGAGCGCGCGTTTATGCGCAAAGAATGCAGTATTCTACTTATGCCGATCGTCTAGTCAATCAATCTTAGCGTTGCCACTTGAGCGGTCGCTGAATAATACGTAGGTGGAGAGACTCAATTTTTCTCCATATTAGGTCACGCACATGCAACACGCCGCGATTGCGCTTCTCACCAGTGTGAAAAAGATACGTGTCGCCACTACTGCTAAACGGCTCGAAAATTTTTTCTGTTCACGTACGCACGTATGCACGAAGCGCTTGAATGCGCCAGCGGCTAGAGATGAAACAACAGAAAGAGAGAGAGAGAGAGAGAGAGAGCTCGCAAAGCGAGCAACCCGATTGTGCCGTACAAAAAGGAAAATGTCAGGACACGACACTTGTAATGAATGATAGCGGACGCGTAATTCACGACTTCTCAATTAACCTCGTTTATTTAATATGTTGCAACGCTTTGTCATAAATTGTAATTATAGGAAGAAGAGTTGAAAGAGCAAACGAGCAATGTTGTATACGTGAGAACACGCTATTCTCTCTTGCATTCAACATTTTTCTTCCTGTAATACGCTTGCAGATCAAACAAATTGTATATTGTTTATTGGATAATGTGTACACACGTGTTATAATTTATATAAATTTCTTAAAATCGATCGAGCTTGACTCTTGGTCAGTGAATAAAAAATTTCGGAAAAAAATAAAGCCATTTTACACCTTGACTGCGACGGACGAGAGAATACGATTCTAATAATAAATATAGACGAAGCACGAATTTAAACGCGCGCGTGACGACATTTTACGCCCTTTCCCCGAAAGTTTGCACCGCGCGAAAATCCAGGCCGCTAACCTTCTGCTCGTTTCCGGTCGATTACGGACAAACTCTGGCGAGCATTTGTTAGCGTTAAGATATACGTGTCGTGGGTACCGCGACGTCGCGAGAAGCGACCGAAAGTCTCGCGCGAATATCTTAACGCGACTTATTGCGAATTCGTTTACATGCATTGTGCTGTGTTCTTATCTCAAATTCTGTTTTGCGGATCGTCTTTTGTGATATAAAATAATTCGACGTGTGACAAATATTGAACGAACGAAAGTCGAGACTATAATTCATCGACGCCGATAATTTCTCACGATCGAGACACGTCATTCGCGATTGGAAAAAAAAAAAAAAAACATTCACGCACTAGTGTGGTTCGAAACACAGGTAAGAAAATGCATTCTCTAAAATAGAGATACGTGTATTACATCGACTTGGCGTGCGATATTATAAATATACATATTCGTTAAACTCCTTTTGGTGATGTGAGTAGTTTTGACGAATGATTCGAACTCCGGTTTGCGCCCGTGGGGCGCTTCCAGTGTGTTCATTTGCCAAACGTGCAAACGCGTATATACATTGCGATCGAAAAGGTAGAAAAAAAAACCATTCATTCCGAAAATCGGGAAAAGGATCACTTTGGGAAGTGGTTCAATTTGGCTGTACATCAACATTGGCGACATCACACAACTCCGCAATAAATTGCGAGAACACATCAATTTGTCGATGAAATATGCGGAAAATGAAATGAAATGATTGATGTCACTGATCCTTAGAGGAAAATGGGACGGCATGTAATATTTGAGCAAAATAAAATAACGTGATACACAGCAAGCAACATACGACAAAAGTGTCTGTCGGTGATAAAAAAAAAAAAAAAAATATTAGACATAACTGCGATAATTATACAAAATTAAGAAATATAATATTTGTGCAATAATCGTCAAAAACTGATGGCTGTCTTATTAAAATTTATCATATTGACCTGATTACATCGGTATGTCACAAGTATGTTTTACTTGACCTTTCGGTTAGTTGTGACGTAATGATATCAGCAAATGTTCCTGAAATAAACCCTCTTAAAGCCAAATGTAATACGAGAAAGTAAAGTGGAGTTTGCTGGGAAACACGAGCGGAGTAAATCTTCAACTTCTCTCGTCCTACATTTCCTTTTTTTTCTGCTCTTGGTATAGCTTCGTACATTTTTACGAAGTCCAGTTCGCGAGCTATACGTCGAGGACTCGCGTCGGTGGATTTATTGAACGTACCGACAGACGCGCGCGGATGAAGATGGCAGACCGCGCGCGCGTGTCTGCATTACCGAGTCCGGCACGACTGTAAAGTGCGCGCAGATGTCTGAGAGATACGAGGAAGTCTCGCGTTTTTCAGCTTTTAAAACTCCGCCGCTTTGTTATTGTTGGTCCTGCGCCAACGTAAGTAATGGCCGGCACATGACGCAAATATATCCTTCCGCGCTTTTTCTTATTTGCCTTTGAAACGCGGAGATCGGTTCGCCACGAACCCCGAGCTGCCTGCATGTCCGACTCTGAAAGAGTTATAGCCCGATCGCAGAGCGCGCGTCTATTTCGTGTACTGTAATACAGGTTGTCCACGCGAACACAATTCGCTCGTTCTCGCACGTTTCTGTCCACATCAAAGGATTGTTCGAATTATTTTCCTAACGTGAGCAAAAAAACAAAAACGTTCATCAAGCCGCGTATCGCGTTTCCTAATTATCTTCAACGGCAATTTGCTGATTCAACATTGCGATAAACTACTTTGTAAGAACGTTGTGATCAACGTTGAGCAAAATAGCACGAAAACTTCACATATATCTGATATGTTACATATGCATGTAAAACATATGCTATTTGCATTAAGAAATTAAGTTAAATATAAAGTTTTTTAAGAAAGGTCCAACACATATAAAACATATACTTTAAGTGATATAATTTAATAAATGTATTTTTCGAAAAACAACGAAAAAAATCGAAATATAAATTAAGAACCAATAATTTGTCAATTAATCAGACAGTGGTGCCACCTGTCGTAACTGTTTGAGATTACTTCAATATTATCATATTACATTCGCTTCTTGGTTTCTACTGCCATCTGTGTTGCTAATATTAATGGAAATACTTCATACGAATACTTAAAAAGTAGAAATTGTTAGATGAATTTGTGACTTTTATTTTATATTTATATTTTTGTATATTTTATATTGTTTACATTTTAATTTAAAGATCCATTTTATACAAATACATTTTTTATCAATAAATCGACACTTTTGTACACCGGTCTTTATTCTCTATTTTTATTGTCTTCTAAACTAGTAACGTACGTAATAATAACGTAACATTAAGTAAACAATATAATAATTATAAAAGATAAAATTTTTTTATGTATAAAAATGCACAAACGTTCAAAAATGATTAATTATCGCTCTTATCGAATATTTTAAACTCCCTCTTAATTTTCTTGTCACTTTAATTTCTTTATATTAATTAAGAAGTAATACATGCTAATTTTTTAACGCGATACGTGTCAGATGATGTCATACAATAAATAGCAATATATTTATCATTCATATAAAAAATATTGTATTAAAATGTAATGTCTTTAATGTACTTCAGTTATCTAACTGTTACGCAAGATTGAAAGAGAGGTGATGTAAGGTAAAGTAAATAGGATTTTTCTTAGCAACCGCCATACGCTATGTTAACAAGCTTATGTATGAATAAAGAGAGGTTCTCACATCAAACCAGACACCGATAAAAAGAAAATAACTGTGCGAAGAAAATGTCTGACACGCACAGAGGTGATACATCAGATTATAAATTTGTGTAAAATGCGAAAGATAGATACAAAAAAAAAAAAAAAAAACAAAGCATCTCTTGAATGGTCATATGTATTTACTGGACACCTTATGTATTAACAATTCTCGGTATTCTCAGAACAAATTACATTGCTGACCTCGTGTTTTTGCATTCTATTGTCGACATGTATTTGTTTCTTACAATGTATTTTAATATACGGTAAAACTCCAGTAATTTCAAGTGCGTGGGACTGATTCTTTGTAAAATTTGAAATTTATTTTCTTTCTCTTCCCGAGAGTTAGCGACCGACTGGTAGCAAGAAATATGAAAAATAATATGTATGTTTCTCTTTTTCTTAGAATAGGAATAAACGCATATTCTACAACTCGCGCAATTCAAGAATGTCGGAGAATTATATTAATAATATTGGCCTGCTGATAAAGAAGAAGTTAAGTAACGTTTGAAATAACTTGAAATACTGTATTCGAGATATAATTTATGTAAATACGGCATAATTATACGCGATACGATTGCAATAAAAATTACAAACGTGTTCTTGCATCCCGTTATTGGCGTTTCATAAAACAAAGTGACTTGTTAAATGAAAAAAATAGAAAGATGAAAAATGCATAGCTTCATTTACAGAATGTTGTAAAAAAACAAATTTACATTTATATTAACATATACATATATATTTATTATAATCTTAATATTCCTCAATGGTTTTTCTTATTTTGTTAAACATTTGAGCAAAATTAAAGAGCTCTTTTGTATTTTATACAATTTTGTAATTTATTCCTACGTGAAAATCTTTAATTTACATTTTAAACATTTTTTCTGTGTAACTTTTTCACATAATTTGAGAACTGCTGCACCCGAAAGACCGCGTTTAAAACCTTACAAAAACTCGTCTAATGTATATCACATCGGGTACCTTATAAAGCTTCCGCAATTCAATATCAGGGTCTGCACTTGAGAATCGTAGTCCTTTGAATTTGTTACGATAGAGAGTGCTGCATCGTAACCGTATTGTTCATACGTTTTTAAACGGAACAATTGTGTCGACTTTCGTGTGCTTTGTACGCATTAATTTTAGTACGCGATACTAAAATTAGGTAGCTGTAGTTTGTTCGTATAATTTTTTAATTTTTTTGACACACATTATACGCATGTTTTTTATACTCCTCTCCTCGATTACAGCAAATCTAAATCCAAAACGTTTTTCAACCACATTAAAACAATAATTAAAAAGGAGAGATATAATTACTCTTAGAGATTTATTATAATTAATTAGAGATTTAAATTTTACACTTGCTTGTAATTTTTGAATTTATTTTGTAATTTTTGAATTTAGAGATTTATTATAATTAATTAGAGATTTAAATTTTACACTTGCTTGTAATTTTTGAATTTAATTGCATTTACAAAATAAATCTTACAACCGGTTAAACTAAAGCAGAGTGCTGAAAGGAACTTTTGCGTTTGGTTACTTAATACTGTGTACATTGCTATCAATATACTACTTATTTCCACAAGAACATTCGTAAAGCATCGCGTTTTTTTACGACATTTCGACGAATCGATCGGATGTTTGATTCGCGTCGAAATATGGGTGTTCCGCGAATGTGGATCGTAATTTTCATGGTGGCCGCCGCGTGCACTTGCGGTGCGCGCACGGAGTGCAGCAAAACAGCGCAGATCTCATTCCTAACAAGCGTGCATGACGACCCTTCGTGCACAAAGGTATCGGCGAAAGGCGTCATGCTCTACGAAGCCGCGAATCTTCTCGTCGAGATTCACAACAACAAAACCGACGCATACGATATTGGTAAAGCAAAATAAGAATGTAATGATCTTTTAATTATTGACAATAAAACACTCGGATATTTTCAATAGTATTATAATTATTTATAGTGATCATTGGAATATTCGATAGAGTATGTTAAAAAAATGGACAGTAATGATTTCAGCACAGAATATAATTAAAGAAATAAACGTTCAATTATGTGTGTAAGAAACTAATTGCTAAATTTATCTAATAGTTAATTTTTTTCACACAACTAACTAAAATTATAGGAATAACCGTTTTGGACACATGCGGAAGTATGACAGGCACTATGAAAGCAATGATGAAGGCTCTGGTGAAGGCAGACGTCAATTGTTTGCATCCACCTTCTTATTTAGGTACGATTTAAGTAAAAAAAAAAAAAAAGATAAATAACAATAGAACAAGTAAGTTATCTTTTGTTTTCGCAAACAATTTAATAAGCAAAAACTTTATCTCGCATTATTCAGGAATTATTGGCCCGGACACGTTAACCAATGCCGAGGTGGTGCACAAAGTAACGTCGATACTTCACGTACCCCATATCGTCAAGGAACCATCGGATTCTCCGTATTTGCATCACTTGGCGGAAGAATCTGACTCCTACTTAGTGCAGGTGCTCGTTACAGATGAAAGAGTTGCGGTGTTGGCGATATATATTATTTTTATGAAAAAATCCTTGAAATTTCATTTGTGCAACATACTTACGAGAATCATGATTTTGCAATTAAAAGCAGTTAACTATTTCTGTGACGCAGAAGTTTAATGCGATGATAATTTACCGAGTTTACGCAATAATGTTAAAGTGTTACAAACAACAATGTCGAGATATATATCTAAGTTGTTTTTATCGACGTATTTCTCTCGGACCGGACGCCTAACCGAACTGATGATTTTTCGATTCACAAATCGAAAATTAAATTTTGAAAAATAATTTTTGATCAATACATTCACCGAACGGAAAAAAAAAAAAATTCTCAATTGATTTTCAAAGCGTTAATTGCGTCTAATGCAATATCGCGTTTAATTACTTCATACAGCCTTGTATTGTGAGAGAATCAAACCGGTCGTTAGGATTTGTTTTTATTAACTCAACATTTTTATTATTTTTTTTAGGGAATCTTAAAAATCATCAACACCTTAAAGTGGAAGTCCTTCACGTTAGTAGTTAACGACGATCACGACGACGATGACGTACAAAATATTGCAAAACAACTAACAATAAGTGCCATAGCAAAGAATTTATGCGTTATAGTTCATGATGACGATTCGGAAGGTATATAAATTTACGCTTGTACGCAAACTGTCCTATTTTTTTCTTTTTTTCTTTTTTTCAATTGATGAAGTATTGCAGGAACATTTTCTTTATTTTAATGATAATTTTTAACAATAGAATTTTGAATTAAAAATCTAATAATAATTGAAACTTCTAATAATAATTTTCTTCAATGTGTATATTACACGCGAGAATCACATTTCTCTTGTAGATTATACGTCACACATTGTGCATATTGGAAAACCGGAAAAGAAGTTTCTTATTGAGCGCACTAACGCGACTATAGTGGTTATTAGCGAGGGAAGCCTGAAAAATTATTTGGCTCGCATAAATTCGAGTAACACCATACTGCTCTTAGAAGATTCCAGGTACGTATTGCATTTTTACGTCATACGTAACAACTACAAAAAGATTTTACATTAAAATATCCGTGTGCAACTTGTTCGGTTTGCTAAAAATCGACATTATTTTCAATTTTGTTTAATTCCGCCTTTAATATTACAATTACGCGTGTGATATAAATGAGCTTAACAATTTAATGCATTTGTATACGGGAGAGAAAGGTAAGGACCCGAAATGTAATCCATAAAATATATTTTTGTTAATTTAACTCTTACGAAAAAGAACTACTGCCGATTACATATAAATAAATTCAGTAATATAAATATTACTGACAATCACACAAGAATATTATTAGATATTACAATCACTGAGAATATTACTGGCAAATACACAGAATGCCAGTAATTCTTTCGCACCACTGCCGTAATATATTACTGCCAGTAGTTCTTTTTTGTAAGAGAAGAAATAATCACATATCTATAATTATCATAATCTCTTTGACGTGTAAATGATTTTGAATATTTGACAACAATGCACTTTCTCTCTATATATATAATGACCTAATTAATAAATGCGAATATACAAAATCTCACGGCAAAGTTACGTACGAGATGTTAATGAATTATTGATCGGGTGATTGTTCAAAGAAAATTGATTGAGCTTCGAGGTTATACTTTCCATAAATTCCAGCGGATATTGTAACGCTGCTAAATCCGAAGCGGTTAATTTACTAAGCGTAATTGATGAAATGTGATTTTTATTGTATTTTATTCGTAATAAATAATAGTATTTTATTCGTAATCGTTTGCGACGCGTAAGAAACTGTTTTGTTCAACCTCTTGGAATTTTCTTTTTAAAAATGTGCGCATGTATCCCCCAGCTATAATTATAGCGACTTCATCATCACGTTGATTACTCCTAACATGCACGTAACCGATTAAAATTATCGCTTGCAAATATCTTTGTCTGGAATCGCGATTTTCACTTCTCTCCGAATGTATTGGAGGTACAATCGAGGTTAAGGATTTTCGATGAAAGTGTGATAAAATTGCCATTACTTCTTTTTTTTTTTTTTTTTCAGTGTTTTAATGTTTCACTTTACGGAACAACAATCACGCCGAGGTCGCTCTCAAAACAAAGAAGAGAAAACTCTAGAATAACTTCGATGTAACTTTGTGTGTCATATTTCTGGTTACGAAAATTTTTCTCTCCTGAGTTTTCAGTAATTTGTACGCGTAGTTTTTCGTATTTCTAGCAATTTTAAATCAAAAAAGAAAAATTATGAGCAAGCACTGGTGTGAATTATCTCTATTTTATTTATGATAAAAACGCGCATAAACTGCGTCAATATATTCAATCTAATAGTATCTTTTTTTTGTTCATTTTGTTTTCATTTGGTTTTAATAATAAAATAAACTTGCGTGTTTGCGTGTGCACACTTGTTGCATTTCCAATCTGTTTTCTCACCCAACACGATATTTACCTAGTCGATTAATTATATATTCTTTAGGAGAATAAGAAACACACACACACACACACACACACACACACACACACACACACACACACACAGGAAATATAAATTACTCAACGCATAATCTAATGATGCCAATAACTCGTAATACAAAATAATAACTAAAGATACCAGTTATTATATAGTAATAAACGATTTAATAAAACTCACGTTGTACAAGTTAAATTTATATAAGCAAAGTGAAAGGAAAATACAGTGCGTACGTCATTTATGCTTCAGTGCGTACGCAATCAATTTTCTATTTATTAGCGAGACAAAAACAACGACAATTTTACCGAAATTGAAAAAATTGGAAAAATTCTTAGTTTTAAGTAAAATACACTTTATAATATTTATTTGCTCATGTCTGAATTTTGTTTTAATTAGAAGCTTCAGCGATCTCTTGGAATCGAGAGTCGAAAACTCGCATTGGTGGGAGCCGGAAGATGATTTTGAAAAATACGACGCCGAGAATTTGAGAGAAATCAGATGGTTAGAGAATGCCGTAGAGGTTTACGTAAGAGCTTTGAAAGCGGCGTGGTAAGCATCGCATTTCTACTGATTAACCGTGATTATCTCAGACAAACACATAGCGACGCGTCACTTAAGAGGATGCTGAACCGCTGACAAAAGTCCGCTCAGCCGCTATTGGGTAAGTGGCGCCATCTCTCGAAACTGATTCGTACCAAAACAAGGATAGATAACATGAGAAAGACAAAGATCGACGTATGTGTCTCTCTGGCGCTTCTTTAAAATTGTACTAATCTTAGTTCAAATTTTTCTTGTCTCACAGGGCTTCAAAATCCTTTTTGAAGCACTCAAAATATTTGCCTATGTTTCTAGTTTTAAAGGCATTTTTGTTTGGATTCGTACGGCCAATTTTGCATATAAAGCGAAAATGTAGTTTATATAATAACAGTCTATAAACTTTTTTTTGTTTTTCTTGAATTCTTATGCCTACTGCAAATCTTTAGTATATTCTCTGTTTTTCTGGAGAAGCGTTTTTCATTCCAATTAATAGTTTGTACAAAAAATTTGAATTACGAAATGAGGGCAAAACAAGACGTTCAGCATCCTCTTAATAGCGTACAACTTATCTTGACGAGACTAGCGTCACACATTCTAATCTAGCTGATAGTTTAATAGGTTTACAGCAAGAACTACTTTATATAGCTAATATAGCAAATTGTGCTCTCCGACTAATATAATAAAACTTATGTATTGGATTGTTATTGACATATACTATATATATTTCATATGAACTTCGTAATTTCAATGACACTTCTAACTATAAATTGTATATTCGCACACAGTAAGAACAAAAAGTGCAAGAGCTCGATAAGTCCTTTGGATTGGAATCACGTTGTGTCGAACATGTTGATGACGCGCAACGCGGAGTCGCGGGCCACACCGAGATACCTCGAAATGTCCATGAAAACAAAGACAGGCGCTTTGGAACAATTGGGCGATATAATTATTCGCGAGAACGAGGCGACGTTGTACTGGAAAAGCGATAAACAGGAAGACGACGTGAAAGAGATCGAGAATCACGAATCGGAGAACAAGATGCCGAACAAGTTGAAAAAATTCATAAAACGAGATGACGAACCGCAAACGGGATGCGCCACGAGCGTCAAGCAGATTAAGACGACGGACAACAAAGAGGTCCTGGTCTCGGGAATGGACGATGACGAGTGGTGGACAACGGTGATATCTAATCGATATTTTTTTACGAGATTACACGAAAGTAATGAAAGTGACTGCCTTGCGTTAGTACTGTAAAAAATTTTGACGTGAAGTTACAACAAAAAAAGAGCGAGAAGATAATATTGAGACCGAGAACAACAGTTGTAACTTTCCAAATCTACCGTAAATTTACACGCGAACGGAAAATAACGTGTTTTAACTTGTTTATATTAAATTTGCATTACATGTACGTACTATTATTTATTAAAATTTTGACTAAATAAAATTATGACTAAAGTAAAATTTTGACTAAAGCCACACATTTACACAACATAAGATAAAAAAGATAAGTTCGCGTGTGTAAAGTTACATGATTTTTTTATATTACACCGTTAATGGTACAATATTTATATTTATTCACATGTAAATTTACACACTTGGTTTACAACGTACGTCAATCTCATTGCTTTCGTGATACAGATCGTGTATACATACATACGTACGTAAAGAAAGTGCTTCGAGAAAATTTTTCCTACAGACATTTCGATATGTTTTGTCTCATAAAATCATATTTCCGATACAAAATATATTTTTGTCAGCATAATAATAAAGCCTATAAAAAAAGACCTATAAAAGCATTCCTTAGCCTCTGCATTTCTAAGAAAATCGGAAATGTAACGCAAAATATCTTACAGGTGTGGACGGTGAGCGGCGTGGGTTTCGCGATGTTCGTGGTAGGATCTTTTGCTGTTTACATTATCTACGCGAACATAGTGCGGGAGCCGAGAGGTCCCAAGAGTAAAGGTCAGCTAGAGAGAGACTCGAGCCTGAGAAGAACGGGAAGTGACCGGGAACTACCTACGACTGTGACTCGCACCCAGCAGCGGGCGAGGCGCGCCCCGCAAAGGGCAGACAGCGACGTGTCCGAGAAAAGCGTCTGAAACCATGTCTGAAAATAATAACGCATGGAAAAACATCGTGTGGAAAGAATGTTCCAAAGAGTAGAAATGTTTGCTTTTTGATGTGAAAACGCGGAGCAAAGGCATTCATTGCACGTCTCAATGCGTTTGTCCATGAACATATGTTTTTTGTAGATGTAACATATAGGTATGTTTTTCGATACGTAATATAATCTAGTCGCAATAAAATATTCTTCATGACATCATCTCATTAATTACGTTTTTGTGAAGCTCACGACAGGTAAAGAGGTTTGTCTTATGTCGCTTTATTATATTTTGTTCACGTGATCAAACATTCATATAAATTAAATAATGTTTCTCCGTGTTTTTACGTCGAATAAATTAAATAATATTTTACGTGTTTCTTTGTATTTTATAGTATGTGTTACGATAAATTTGTTGCGACAAGCACGAGTACGCAGATAGATGCAAAACCGTGCGAAAAAGAAAGAAGAAAAAAAGAGAGAGAATGTGCGTAAGCGTGTGGGTGTATGTGTGTGTATGTGTAGTATACATTTTTCTATCACCTACATAATTTCTTATATCTATTATCTTGTAACACATACACAGATACAAGATTGCGATAAAATATTAAATAAATATTCCTTAAACATTATGTCTCATTTACGATGATATATGAGAATGTTGTATGTATAACGCTTACATTATTAAATTAGTTATTACATTATTAAATTAGTAAAGCCTATTAAAAATATTACGAACTTCTAGCGTGCATATATATGTATAAAAATTTCCTAAACAGTATCGCTGCGGCAGAGTTACATTCAGCGCCTTCTGCTTCGTGTGATTAAAATAAATCTCTTTTGCACAGATGGTGTGCATACGCGTGCGCGATTTTATAGTTTTTACGCTTCTATTTAATTAACTTTCATAAATTAATATAGCACTTATTCAAAGACAAAAAAACAACAAGTGTGTGTGCGCGCTTTATTATTATATAAACCTAATAAAAAACTTCTATATCGCCATTGATATGCAGATACGTTTTACCTTTGTAATTACTGCAGCTACGCAATTTTTTTTTAACGACTCTCAATTTCTCAGACAACGTATTAATTTATTTAAGTAAGTTATTTTTTATTTTATATTTGTTAGATATATGTTGTAAAATATTTAAAATAAGTTTTTAAATATTTTACAATATTTTTACACGAAAATCCATTATTTTGTATTATTAAAGTAATAATATCGTGCGTTTAAAAGAATAAAAATTTTATCGCTTAATTTTAATTATTCAACAATAGCGCGTTTATTCGACAACACACACACACACACACATAATGTCCAGTCTCGCGAAAAACGACCTTCTCTTTTTCTCGCGTTGCCGAGTGCACCGGTCGCGGAACAAAACAACAGAATGAAACTTCCGCCGTGTAAAAGTGCACAGCATAAAGGGTAAGGTTACCACGGATGTGACATATTAAGATGGTAAAACGGGGTTATGCGCGCTGGATAGATGAAGAGATACAGGCTATTGTTCTCACCACTTGACACAATCAAACAGTCAATCAAGATTGCGTAACATGCACATATCTACCCTGACGCGCATGTTGTCCCAATCCCGTTCAAGATGTACAGACGTTGCATTTGCTAAACACACACGTTTCTACCTAAATAAAATTTAATTTTTAACACAACATACATTTTTTTATACATAAACCTGAACCGTTAATGTACAGGTGTACCGATTAGAACTTGTGATTGTGTTATTTTTTCGCAGTCGACATGACCTTATTTACTTTCGTGTTTGCCTTTTACTTTTTTAAGTATACCTGATATCGTAGTGTCACACTTTCATTGGATTTTATAAGTTAAACATTGTTGATGTTTTTTTTTTTTTTTTTTAATATTATTGCAGCCTTGCGACACAGAAACTGTTTCTTCATTATTTTTCAATAATTTTGTTCGGACAAAGGGAGATCTATTAAAAAATATACGTTCACGAAGAAGTGTTCAAGGACAATCTCAAATTACGGACACTTTCCTTTGGTTTTGTATACATCGTATCTCCGTTTTTTGTTTTTTTACCGTATCTCCTAATTTTCAGCTTCACTTACTTCCCAGTGAAAGTACACGAATAGTCGTATGTGTGTCATTGATGTCATAGTTAGAAAACAAGCGGCACTGCACGATGGTTACAACATAATGATTACGCACAAAATGACTTTTAATTTATCCTTATGGCATTTAATAACTTTAAAGAGAATCAAAGTGATATCTCCTTGGAAGAGTTACTTATAGTTGCAGTGGAAAACCTCGTGGAATAGAAAATGTGAAAAAAAAGCAAGAATATTTTTATCCTTCTGTGAATAAGCAGAAGTAGGCGCTGTCTTTATAATCCTTGTTATGTATGTTACAGCAATTATGATTTAAAAAAATATATATACTTAATTTTCTTATGTGTTTAAATAGTTGTTATTCCACATACGATAAATAGATAGTGACATTACACTCGCTAAGAGTGTTGTTATGAATAAAACATTCTAGAATGTTATGAATAAAACGTTCTAGAATCAAGAGGCACGGTAGTGCCTCGCGCCAAGTATATGCGCAAAGTGTACGCGCGCTGCGCGAGGTACCCCGTGTCTCTTATACGCGAGTGTGGCTGATTGACACTTCCAAAATTTTTAGATCTCAACAATGGCTAAAAAATATTTAATGTAAAAAAACTTGGCGCGGCTGCACCGAAAACTAAAAATAAGTTCAGCCGTGAGTTTTTTTTAGTAAATATTTTTTATTTTGAAACATTCCACATGAGCTTTTGACTTTTCACACAAAGCGAAATCTATATGTGTGATTCGACATAGTTTAAGATTTTCCACGCAAGGCGAAGTCATTTCTTACATTAATGAATGCTTTATATAAAAAGTGCAATGGTCATACAATATTTTAAACTTTCTATTGATTTAGAATATTTTCTATTTTACAACGTATAAACAACTTACAAAGTTTTATATATTTATATATTTTTGTAACAATGTATAAACATACATTGAAAGATTTTACTTGGCGTAACTTATTGATATCATTTTTTTTGTAGAATAGATCTTGTAGAGAAGATTTTTATACTAATACTTTTTCTCTAGAGATATGAGTTGCGCGTGTACTTGGCGCCTTTTTTTTACCTTTTTTTGAAAAGGTATTTTGTGATTTATTACTCACAAGACATGAATAATGTGAATAATAAATCTTCACCCTAATTTGATTTATGTATTTCTAATTTGATTTATGTATTTCTAGTAAGTTTTCAGTCTTCAGATGTTTACGCATGAATGGTAAGCCTTGAGTGTACATTATTAGTGTATATTATTTACTCGGAAGAATCAAACAAATAAACTTGAATCAACTTTAAATAAGTTATAAATCATTTAAATGATTTATTACACATGTTATGTTTTTTATTGTACACATTCTATAATAAAACTAGGATTTACTATAGAGAAATTAAATGGAATATGATCTCGCGAAGTTATACGGTAATTTATAGACACACGTGTTACATTCAGTAACACATGCGTCGCATTAAAGTAAATCGTAACGCGTGTGCGTTTTTGCTTTTTTTTGCGAGAAATGCATTCTTGTTATTTGCAAAATGAGCGCAGTATGGGACGTTCGTATACTTTGAGAATTAACATGTGTCATTGGAAAAACGTTGAGACTGCCCTAAGAGGAAGCTGTTACGTCGGGATTTCCTTAGCTTTGTGTGTCTAATGTGACTCATAAATAATGAGTATGCTGATAAGTTACCTCAGTCACAAGTTGCTCTTTTTTCTATTTATTTTAACTAACAAAATAACTGATATGACATTTAAGTTTATTAGAAAATAAATTATTAAATAACTTTTTTACACAAAATATAAAAATGTGTAAAAATGTGTGTAATTTTATTTACATGTGATGCAAACTAAATTCTCTCATATTATCCTAAAATTTCGTTTTTCTGTTGTTTATGCAAAACACATCTGTTAATAAAGTTTTTAAGTTGTTAATAAGTGTATATATAATATATATTTAAGTGTTAATAAAGTTAAATTTAATGTGTAATTTTAGTAACATATATTTAAGTTTTACTACAGAGAAAATAGTATTAAATCTTCCGATTTTTTTTCACAGTTTATAATTCACATATATATATTTTTTTATTGATTGCATCTATTGTGGTAATGGGAAAATTGCGGCACAATAGGAAAATAGACATCTCGTTATCTTGGATTCTCCCCTCTTCATCGCATTAGCACGAGCTTGCGAACTAAATGACTAACACAACGTTGCAGTGAAATGCGAAATTGACGTAATATTCCGAGTAACGAGTATCTAACAACATATGTACTCTTGAAAAATGAAACTTTTCCTCTTTTTTTTTTTTTGTAAGGAAGTTGCGGTTTTAAACCCCGGGAAAACCAGCGGACTCAATCCGCGACCGGATATATGGCTATTCTTTCTTAATAATTAATCTGTGTACTAATTTGTAATAAATCTGTGATAAATCTGTGAATCACAGATTTATTACAAATTAGTACAAATACATTTAACGAAAATAGATCACAGATGAAAAAAAAAAAAAACACGACCTTCCGCCTGCGAACTACACAAAATGAAGAAGTTGCGTATGTACACACACACGCAAGATTATTTTACATACACGTAAGCACTGACGCTAACAGACTTATATAATCTAATACCAGTTCTTAATACGTAGAGTTTATTCAGTTTCTTATATATAGAAATACAGATAATATATTCAATGCTTTTTATTGTGTTCTCAATTGTGTATATTAATTGAATATGTTGTAATCGTCATAGGCACCAGTATACGGGCTTTGCAGGAAAACTACGTTTCGGTGAAATGAATCATTCACGAAGATTCCTCTCATTAAAACTCAATCTGGAAGTTCCACTATTGTGGCAGACACGTGCGGAATGTGCTCGTCTATGTGTGTGTGTGTATGTGTCTTTTCATATCCACGTATTTGATTAAACCGGTATTGACAGTCGGATCTTATATTTAAGATCTTATTTCTACGCACATACATGCTCTTGTATGTATGTGTACACACATATACAAGTAAAATGGTATTTTGCAAAAAAAACAATTGGCTATAAATATCGTTTTCAGATGATATTCTCGCGCTATGTTGTATTATTCTCCAAAAACTATCTCGCGTTTTATCTTTTACGTTAGCAACACTACGTGTTGTATTTCTTTCGTTCGCATCGCACGAATAGTTTCTGTCGTGATCTGAATACACTTTTTTTTTTTCTTATAAAAACAAAGCATATATTGTGCATCTTATTGCCGATGATAACAGGAGAAACGATTCTACATGAAAAAAGTTAAGTGACCAATTATGAAACGTCCTGTATATCATTTGATATATGATTGCATCTTCTGCGAATAATAACATATGTAATTACAAACCGTAGTAACACCTACCAAGATTTCCTATCTTCTTCGAACAGATTCGAATTACAAATTCAAAATACGCTCGCTGATCTCGGAACTTCGCACACGATGAGAATCAAGTGTGAGACACAATGCAAACGTATCGTTTATACTTATTGCGCGAAAACTAAATTAAAAACAGAATAATTTTCGAAGTAAAAATTTTTAAGTGATTCGAAGAGATATTTTTTCAAAGAGTAGTCAGCAGTTTCCGACGACAACGTGATCGATCAATGTAAATGTTCGTTTTTGACGCGTTGGTCGATCTCTCGGAATATTTTTGAAAATATCGCGAAATACAATTTGTCATAGTGCTTAAAAATTTAAGTGATAGGTGACACACTCCACTAACCGTTTGTGGATAACGCGGGCGTTATCGTTATCGGCGAAAAAAAATATCGTAGATCGCGCGCTTACAAACGTGCATATGTATGATTCGAAAGAACCTAACGGGAGTATATTTAATCGACGATCAACAAGAACAGTGCGAAGAGAGTCGTGGAACAGTAGCAGTATATAAAGAACGAACAAACACAATTCAGTCTCTCTCGTGACTGTCTCCATATAAAAGTACGGGTCATATTAACTGGACAAAGCATTCTCGGTCAGTCCGCCGACAATATCAAACGCTACACGAAGAATTCCATGCTTGACTTGAGACGCGTTAAAGACAATTGATAAATATTCAAAACTAAAACCGGAAAGAAACAAGTAGTTGAGCAAGAAAAAACTTCAGGAGGGGAAAACCAGTAAAGAAACAAGAAAAATAAGTGGCGAAAGACGCGCGGCGTCTTGGGAAGTTCTCAAGTCAGTGGTCCCACCACATCGAGGAAACAAAAAGCGAAATATACATATATACAAAGTGAAAGGGGAGACCTATACTAAAGAATTTCGACAGTCGTTGGCATAGCGTGAAGTAACGTTGCAGTGTGCTCGTCGTTGGAGTTCGGTGTCAAAACGTAGAAGATAAATAACGAAGTGAGTGTTTGAGACACACCACGAGCGAAATACGAGTTGTGGATAATTGTTGCGATATTTTAATCGACAAGTAATTTTAATCGACAAGAAATGTATTTTTTTTTTTTTTATTTTTATTTTAACGCAGTGACTTTGCATCGTAAAAAATCACAAGTGTTTAGAAAATTATAGTTTATTGATAAGCACACGATTTGGAATAATTATTCAAAAAATTATTTACAAGTCCACAAGCGGAGATTGTATTCTGGTAAAAAAAAAAATATTGCTCGTGTAGTGTAGCTATAAAAACGATTTGTAGCCATTTCAAAGTTTGCGAAATATACTTGTGCAATTTCACGTACAGAAGATATATTTATGTATCGTATTTTTTGTATGTTTATCGTGCCGAAGCTAAAGTTTGAAAACTCGTTTCCCGCGTGTTCTCTACACTTTATAGAATTTATTACATGTTACGCAAATATAATTATTTAAATTTCAAAACTTGAAATTATTTTAATTTAAAGAATAAAAAGTGAACACAATTTTTTTGCCATTTGATGTGACAACAATATTTTGAAGATTATTTTGTAGAAGCACAAACAATATATTTTTTTTACAAAAAGATCACATCGTCACTCCCTACGTATAATTACATAAATGTCACGTACGGGATTTTCAGTTTATTGCATAGTGAAACTTAGAAAGTCATGTTCTTTATGGTCACTAAATATTTAAAAAATATTCATAAGTAAGGTAAAAATTTAAAACCAAAAGATCCCTTAACTAGAGAAACTACATGAAGCTTTAAATTTTTAAACTGCTCTCCTCTAAAATTTGCGTTTTGGAGTTACGAGATTATACGTAGGGAGTGACGACATGTCAGCGTTTTTCAAACACGCGGAACATTTTTCGACTGTTTGTAACACAATTTTTAATACTTTTACTTGAAACTTCAATTTCAGCTTTTTTGCTAACGAGACAACAAATACAGAGCTGTTTCAAACATCTGAAGATGGGCACTTTACAACAACAATCAATCTTAAAAGGTCGGCAGACTGAGGAAGATGGGAAGAAAGATTTAGTGCACGAATTGTTCAGCCGTGCAGCGGCGGTTCATTTGAATCAAACCGCAATATATTACGAAGGTAAAATTTTTCCTTTTTTTTTTTTTTTTGACAGAAAAGAACAGAAACCATATCGAAAATATGATTAGAATGTGTGTTTTATGTCTTAAAATAATTCATGTTTTTTCTTTATAATTTGAGAAATACTTCAGCTACTGCTTTTATAAATATCTTTCTTATAATTAAGACTAGTGTCTACATCTGACGTAACTATCAGAGAGAGAGCCCTAATTATCATCTACACACACACAAATACTTTCGGCTGGTGACCTCTGTTTATCAAGTCACGTCGCTCCGCTCGTTCACACACTTTATGAGTTCACATACTTTATTCTCCCTCTCATTCTCTCTCAATAAAATTAGCGCACACAAAACAACCAGTTGGCTGACATGTTACATGATGCGAAGGTCATATCGACAAAATTCGTATGTTACCAAAATCTCTCCGTATAGATGACGCAGACCAGACGCACGTGTTGTCTTACAAAGAGCTGGACAGCCTTACCAATCAGTTGGCACGAGTTCTACAAAGGTACGAAAACAATGTAGATTCTCAATCACTTGTGGCCGTTTGTATGAAACCGTCTCATCGTCTTCCAACCGCATTGCTTGCCACACTGAAAGCAGGCATGGCTTATTTACCTCTGGACGCGGAATTTCCGATGTCTAGAATGAAGCACATTCTCGAAGAAGCGCAGCCGTTAATAGTATTGGTCGAGGAAGAAGGTAAACGTCATGTCTTATGTGTCTAACAAAAAAAGTTAAATAAATAATTATTTAAAACAAATTTGTATTTAATATGTTTTTGTATTTAATATTTTTGTATTTAATTATGAGAGACATAAATAACGTTCGAGTAACATTACACATTTCCGCTTTCAGCGGATTTATCAATTTACGAGGGATCGCTAGTCGTGACGTACGAACAACTTTTGAACGAAGCCAAACAGGAAAAAGAAGACGCATTAACCATTAAGAAAATCACCAATCAACTTGCTATTGTTCTTTACACTTCCGGAAGTACGGGCGTTCCCAAAGGTAACGCGCTGTATATCTCATGCTAATTTTATGTCGATATACTGTGTCGTAAAAAAAAACTATTTTATGCGAGTGTTACTGCGTGATTTGTTCTGCTCTCGTGTGTGCAATATAGTCAGGCGTAGAAATTAACACTGCTACATCACAGGCGTAGAAATTACCAATTACATCATTTCTATATATTATTTATAAATATATATTATTATAAATATATAAATATA